GGTAAAATCGCCCCCCCCCCCCCCCCCACACATGCAAAGTTTGCTCCCACCTGTAGTGACACATGAGACGGCTGAGAAAAAAAATTGGTTGCCATTGGGGGAAGCAGGTGTTTGACATGTCAGATGGTTGGAATAGCTGCTCCCCACCTTCACATGCCATGGTGCCTCCCACCTGTAGTGATACATGAGCTGGCAGGAGAAACCATTGTGGGCCGTCGGGGGGGTTGAACAGGTATTGGACCTGTTGAGTGGAATTGGGTTTGGATACAAATAATTATTTCGGTTTTCCCTCTTTTAGACTGGAAGGGAAAGGAGAATACATCCTCCCAACAGAAACACGCTATGAAGGGGAGATGAAGGATGGAATGTTTCATGGCCGGGGAACGCTGCACTTCCCGAATGGAAGTAAATACGAAGCTCAATGGGATTGCGGCATAGGGCTCGAGGTAAGATGGACTCAATGTATGACCACGTGACGATTGTAGATACCGCAACGTGATGAGTAACGTGAGCACCAGGAACATACCAACACCATGGCGCTGGATTCTGGGTCACTGTTAACCCCGCCCATGGCCCACATTTCGTCCTCCCTCTTTTCAGGTGGACATACCCATATCACACCCATTTTTCAGGTTGGTCCCTCCTAGACCCTGCCTCTAAATATCCGCGCACCATGCCCACTTTATGGATTGGTCACTGCCAAGGGCCCACCTCTAAATATGCAGTGACCGCCCATCGTGCCCACTTTTGGGATTGGTCCCTGCCAAGGGCCCGCCTCTAAATATGTCCACTCATGGCCCCTGATTTCCCCACATGATGCCCTTTGGAGTTACTGCGGACGTGCCGTGACTCAAGGTTGATGCTGTGATCCCGGGACATGGCCCTGGACATCAGAGGGAAAAGGTGTGGGAGTGTCTCGGCAGATCCAGGACAGTGTATAGCGAATGTTCGTTCCCCATTCGGGTCACGGGTGTGATTTGGCGTGCTTAGAATGGACGTCGTTTACATTGTTTCTGTTTTATCATTTTTTAAAAACTTTTTACAGGGAAAATACACTTTTGCCGATGGGCTCCAGTATGAGAAGGAGAAATGGCTCTACTGTGACGGCTATGACCGAAGGTTTTATACCGAGATTTGTTGTGGATTAAAACCTGCAGGTATAGTTCCATTCCAATCCATCCTGTTTCTGTGTCTCAGTGAGAGGTCTATCTGTTGCTCAATGCCCCACCCCTGCTGAGACCTTCTCTCCACCCCTGCTGAGACCTTCTCTCCACCTCTGCTGAGACCTTCTCTCCACCCCTGCGGTGACCTTCTACCAAACTCTACTGAGACCTTCTCCCCAATGTTGCTGAGACATTCTCTCCACCCCTGCTGAGACCTTCTCTCCACCCTTGCTGGGACCTTCTCTCCACCCCTGCTGGGACCTTCTCTCTACCCCTGCTGAGACCTTCTCCCTGACTCTGCTGAGACCTTCTCTCCACCCCTGCTGAGACCTTCTCTCCACCCCTGCTGAGACCTTCTCTCCACCCCTGCTGAGACCTTCTCTCCACCCTTGCTGAGACCTTCTCTCCACCCTTGCTGAGACCTTCTCTCCACCCCTGTTAAGACCTTCTCTCCACCCCTGCTGAGACTTCTCCCCAACTTTACTGAGACCTTCTCCTGGACTCTGCTGAGACCTTCTCCTGGACTCTGCTGAGACCTTCTCCTGGACTCTGCTGAGACCTTCTCCCCACCCCTGCTGAGACCTTCTCCCCACCCCTGCTGAGACCTTCTCCCCACCACTGCTAAGACCTTCTCTCCACCCCTGCTGAGACCTTCTCTCCGACTCTGCTGAGATCTTCTTTCTGACTCTACTGAGACCTTCTCCCCAACTCTGCTGACACCTCTCAATTACTCTGCTGAGATCTTCTCCCCCACTCTGCTGAGACCTTCTCCCCGACCCTGCTGAGACCTTCTAAATGACTCTGCTGAGATCTTCTCCCCCACTCTGCTGAGATCTTTTCCCCGCCTCTGCTGAAACCTTCTCCTGGACTCTTCTGAGACCTTCTCCCTGACTCTGCTGAGATCTTCTCTCCACCCCTGCTGAGATCCCAGAAGAGTGGAGGATGTTATAGCTACAAAAAGGGCCAACTCCATATTATTGGCCATGGTTTTGGATTGGGATGTCCAACAAGCTCACATCGGTGCGATGGCCAGGTGTCCACCAACGTTTTGCCATATAGTGTACATGGGGTAGGTCCAGTGTAAACAGGTCATTGATGTTCATGTAAAGGCAACCACTGGTATCTCCAATATTGAGGTCCTTATTGGGGGACCTCCCGTTATAGGGTGACCGTCTATTTCACACACGTGGAAGCAGAAACCACTCCCCCTTTTTGTTCTTATCTCCTTCATAGGTCGCTCACAACTTACAAATTTAGACCCTCCTCGGCAGATCCCGGAAGGCTGTTACGATTGCGGTGATGGATTCTATGACCCGGGCAGCCGCGTTGTGAATGACTACCAGCACAGATTCCTTCGGAATGCCGGTGAGTCTTTACATTGTGTTTTCTCATGTCAAAGCCGAGCTCTGGGCAAACAGCTCAATACGCCAGGAGCAGCTCTTCCTGCTGTGGGATTTGTAGATCTGTCCATCCAGTCTTGAGATTTACACAGCTCTGCCACGCAGAACAGACCTATCCAAGTGCCTTCTGCACCACCTCTGTGTTCCCCTTATTAGAGTAGATTGATTTTTATATATAGAAAAAGGTTAAACCTTTCCCACAGTTAGTGTCACCAAAACTAGTGCCCCCCCCTTGGGGAGATTTCACTTCCTTTCACTTCCTGTTGTGGCTATCGGACAGGAATTGAAGTCCCTCCACAGACCAGGAAAATCCTTGGTGGTCACCAAAACTAGTGTCCTCATTGGGGAGATTTGCCTTCACTTCCTGTCCGATAGCCACAGCACGAAGTGAAAGGAAATCCCTACAAAGAGAAGGAAATCCCTGGTGGTCAGCAGGCTCAACAGAACTAGTGTCCCCATTGGGGGGATTTCCCTTCACTTCCTGTCTGATAGCCACAGCTGGAAGTGAAAGGAAGTCCCTCCACAGACCAGGAAAATCCTTAGTGGTCACCAAAACTAGTGTCCTCATTGGGGAGATTTCACTTCCTGTCCGATAGCCACAACAGGAAGTGAAAGGAAATCCCTCCAAAGAGAAGGAAATCCCTGGTGGTCAGCAGGCTCAACAGAACTAGTGTCCCCATTGGGGGGATTTCCCTTCACTTCCTGTCTGATAGCCACAGCTGGAAGTGAAAGGAAATCACACCAAAGGAAAATCCTAGTGTCCCCATTGAAAGATCTCCCCTCCTTTTCCTGTTCCAGCGATTGATGGGAATGTAGATGGGAACTAATACCTTCCAGTGGACTTATCTCTGTGCTCCTGACCCCCGAGGTGTGCCAAAAACGGAGCGCTCAGACTGCATGCCGTTCTTTTATCTTTTCCATTCGTTCCTATCACTAACAACACATAATAGAAGCCACATTGTAGCAGTAACACAAATACCAGATGAATGATGACAAATATACCAAATGGCAATCAATAAGCTGCTTAAAAACATATCTTAATAATAATATATAGTTATAAAATAAATGTATAATGTGTGTGTATATAATACACTATATTACCACAAGTATTGAGACGCCTTTACACGCACACATGAACTTTAATGGCATCCCAGTCTTAGTCCGTAGGGTTCAGTATGGGGTTGGCTCCGCCCTTTGCCGCTATAACAGCTCCGCCTCTTCTGGGAAGGCGTCCACAAGGTTTAGGAGTGTGTCTATGGGACCTGTCGGCCAGAAACGTCGTCCTTTTTGGAGTGTTCTGGACACAGAAAGTAATTCCTTTTGTCATAATATTGTGATTCCTTACGATCTGCAGAGCCGAGCCATGAAAGGAGGACTCTGGCCTGTGACAGTGGAAATCAGACGGCCGGGTTCCTGCCCAATATATCATCATTTGAAATTCTGCAAGTTTATTTTGTTTTGGGCTTAAACAATTAGCGCTCCAGATGACCGGTGCTTTCAATTAACCGCGCTCAGCGTACACGCGAACCAATTCGGAGAAACCATCGCTCGCTTAATGAACGAA